AATGCAGTGTCTCGAATAGCCCTTGTTTTCCAGCTTCTCACAATGAAACTACTACAGTATGTGATGAAAAGTGGCCACATAAATTGTTATAAATACATTAAAAATTCAATTGTGCGAAAAAATCAAGCTTAATGTCATATGATATCTGTATTGTATGGCATACAGTTCAGGACATTAATAATTGAACACCCCTCGTATTAGGCCCGCAGTAGTATCTTTTATCATTTTTTAAAGATATTATCAAGTTGATATAACAAATTCATCAAATGACTTAACAAATAACCCGATCTCCAAATTACTGCATCGATATTGTCAACCAGAAACTCTAGCATCTTTTTAATATTACTAAAGAGTGGTTGTTTGTAAAATCAGAATGAATAATATATGGAGAAAACGAGTAATGCCAAAGCTCATTAGTCTATTCAGTGAAATATATGGAGACAGCGAACAGAATTCAAGGTCAAAAGTCCATAAAATAATACAAAAAGGAGCAGAGCAAACACGGACCTCAAAAACGTCAGAGGTGGGATCAGGTGCCATGGAGGAGTGAGCATCCCCTGCCGACTTGCGTGTGCTCCTTGTCATAATCAGAAGCAGAGCAAACACAAGAGATGGGATTATGTGCCATGGAGGAGTTAGCATCCTCTGCCGACCGGTCTCCCTTGTCATGTTCGAGAAAAACGGAAAATCTGTCGACAACTGAGTGTGTATATATTGCCCTAACAATTTGTATTGGTGTCAGTCAGCATTTGATATAGTGATACATTGTATTTGCTGACAAGGGCATCGTATCGGCCACCGATCTTGCAAAATGATTACTTCAAACGAGACTGTTGATATTCTTGTTTTATCGACTTGTTTATCAATAGCTTGCCTCGTTTTGGAAATTGTTCGTAAGTGTATCAAATAAGCTGCGAGACATGAACTCCATCTGCATGTGATTAAGAAATAACTACTAAAGTAAGGGATGTTGATGATAGAAATATCGAAAGCGTCGTGGTTTTCATAAAACTTTGTTGTTCGATTACCATTAAAATCTTTTTCTGTTAAAATATCCTATCATGAAACAGATCGATGTTTCAGACTGTATGGTATTGTTTATTTCAAGCTCACTGGGATACTTAGTATATCGAGTCGACATGGCATAAAAATATTTTCGGTGTGCGGGGACATATCCCAATATTTTGGACGTGAGAGGGAAATTAGAAATTCCTAAGATATACAAATTTAAAAGCGAAGAACAGTTACTTAGGCTCTTGCGTATTTAATCAATTGAGAGGTGCCCCATACTCATATTCATGTCATAAGGGTATAAACAATAAATATGAAAAGTTGTCGATTGAAGAGTTAAAGCCATCAAGATTATCATAGAGTGTTGTTAAGTTATTTATTTTTTTCCTTGTAAAATATCGAAAATATTGAGAATAAATAATGGAATAGAATGATTTAGTCTTTATGATTTTACTTATTAATCTCTTTTAATTCAAACAAATGTCCGTAACATTTTTTATCCTTTTCTTTTTTGAATGCTCAAAATGGCTGAATTGTTTTTTCCTTCTGAAAGGTGTTTTTTTCAAGTTTGGAAATAGAAACAAGTCAAATGGTCAAAGATCTGGCAAATATTGTCAATGTGAAAAAACATTAACTTTTTGATTATCTCGAAAACCCCTTTACTCTTCAGGGCATGCGGGTTTGGACGATATATCTAAATGTTTTTTTTCAAAGACCAAAGCAATTTTTTGAAAATTTTTAATCTGTCTTTGTGCTCTTGCATACCTTTGCTCTTGTCCGACCTCCGCCGTTTTTATCAAGTACATCTTATGATAAATTTTGTTTCGATAAATTTTGTTCCAATATCTGTTTGAATATAAAACAAAGCTGGATAACTATTTTAAAGTAACTGATAAGACAAAAATTTTTCAAAATATAGGTATGATAATTTTTTTAGTCAAACGTTTCTTAAAAACAGTGTATTATTAGCTATGCGTCTTAAAGCCAATCATACATCATCAAATATTATTTGTTGAAATTTGGCGAACAGTACATAAGTTGTTATAACTTTTGTTGGCAAGGAGGGTACCCATCTTTGATGCCCATTATATAATTTTCTATCATTGAAATCCTTCTGCTCATTTGTCTATAAAACAGGCATCAGTTGCTGTAAATGTCACATATTTCAGTGAATATTTCTTTGGAATTTTTAACAAGTTTTACAGCAGCTTTAATGTAGCTTTTATTTTCACTCTAGTTTACCGATTCTTTACCATTCATTTATAATGCAAATAGCCCTTGTTTCCCAGTACATGTAACTATTGTGTGCAACATAAACTGTCATAAATTCAGTAAAGATTCAGTAATGAGAGAAAGTCAAGTTTAATGTCATATGATATATGTATTGTATGTCATACAGTTCATGACATTATTTATTGAACAGCCCTCGTAGATGTGTCTTTTCTTTGAAAAATTGTGAAATTTGCGATAATTCGTCCATATATCTAAATGTTAAAGACCAAAGCAATTTTTTGATTTTTATGAATAGCGAATAAATTATGCTTCATATGACTACAAAAATAGGTATGATCAAAAACCCTTGATTTTTAATATCATAGATATTGTGAATGGTGATTGAACTTGAGTACATGTATTTGTGTGCACTGAGTGTTTTTTTTAAAAATCAAAATAATGTTGCAGATGGTGAATGGAAAGGTAAGTAAATTTTTGAAAAATAAAATCTTGATGTATCAATGATGTCAAAAACCCTTGATTTTAACTCATCATGTGAAATGGTTTGATAAAGTGTTGAAAAGTCATAGATACGTTTTGATGTTATTGACTTTTGTGATTTTGGAATTTTTGAGTATCCACCACTGCGAAAATCAAACATATCTTTGCACATTATTCCTGAAGTTTCTCCTTCACGGCTGTTAATGTTTTAGTGAGGAGTAAAGAAAGAGCCTTGCAGGAACTTACTGGATCCCGCTATATAGTTTTGTTTGTAGGGATTTTTATGACGTCTAGGAATCCAGTACATGTATAGGTAATTCAATTGTTATCGCTTGTTGGGAATATTAAACATATTTAAAAACGGACATGGGATTTTGAAGAATATCCTTCTTTAAGAGGGCAGCACTGGCATAGTTGAATTCCCACTTGCATAATCAAATGAAAAATATGGAGATAACGAAAAGTATTCATGATCAAAAGTCCATAAAACGATACAAAATGCAGCAGAGCAAACACGGACCTCCAAAACATCAGAGGTGGGATCAGGTGCCCTGAAGGAGTGAGCATCCCCTGCCGACCGGTCTCATCCGCCGTGTGCATCCTTGTCTTGATCAGGAAATAAAGGAAAAAATGCGTCGTCAATTAAGTGTATAAATAATAAATTAACATTTAGTATGAAAAACGTCAGCCAGCATTTGACTCAATGATAAATTGTATTTGCTGACAAGGTTATTGTATCGACTATAGAACTTACAAAATGATTACATTAAACGAGACTGCTGATATTCTTGTGTCATCAACTTGTTTTTCAATAATTAACCTCGTTTTAGTAATTGTTCATACGTAGATCATGCTCTTGCGTTTCGAATCAACTGAGATTTATAAACTCCGTATGCAGGTGATAAATGTATATTGCTGCATAAGTAAGGGAAGTTGACGATAGAAAAGTTAAAAAGTCATCACGTTTATCATAGAGCTTGGTTGTTAGATTGCCATTAATGTATTTTTCAAGTAAAATATCCAAATGTGATACAGATATGTCAGACTCTGTGGTATCTTTTATCTCAAACTCACCAGGATATATCGTATCGACATAAGAATGGAAATTACCATTGTTAATTAACAATACGTCGTCGATATATCTAAATGTCGAGTTGAAGACCACAGTGTTTTCTTCTTTTCACGCATAAGATTTTGCACAAATTCTGTTTCATATGAATAAAAAAAAGGTCTGCTAATAACGGGGAGCAATTGGTACCCATGGGAATTCCAATAGATTGTTGGAAGACCAACATAGATATTGTCAATCAAAAACTCAAACATGTTTTTGATGTCAAATTTAGAGAACTTGTGTGTACAATCAGAATGTTTTTAACAAAATAATTTTGCAAATGACCATTGACAAAGTTAGTAAATTTAAGAGTTCCATTTTTATTGAAAAAGCAGCTGTCAAGGATATCGAAAAGCCTGGACTTTAATTTATCATGGGGAATGGTTGTGTATAAAGTTGAAAAGCTGTAAGTTTTTAAGCTGTTGATTTCGGTAAAATCTTGATTTCAAATTGTCCAAAAGTTCCTTAAATTTTTTTAGTATCCACATCTGATTTACACCACTTCTTGGATATATTGTTGCACGGTACTCTTGAAGTTCTCCTTCACTACCGTTAATGTCTTAGTGAGGATTAAAGAAAGAGGCTTGGTTGAACATTTACTGGAACCCGCTTTGTACCTTTGTTTGTAAGGATTCTTATGAATATCACGATACTGATTTAGAAGAATTTCTCTCTTCTAGAGATGAGATTCCTTACCTGCTAAATGTAGGATTCTATGAATTATACATATAGTGAAATCAAAACACAACCCATTTATCAGTGATCTCAGTATTTTTGTTTCTTCGTTTCCATGTTATTCTGTATGCAGAAAATTGCAGTTCCTGAAAGTCTTTTTTTTTATTTTTAACTACCGATTTGCATTGCATTTCATATTCACGATTGACATAACAAGGAAAAGTAAAGGATTTTCTTTCAAAGGTACGTTCAAATTGCAACCTTTTAATTTTTTTCCGAGAAAGCCTAGAAAAAAAATTGATTTTCTGATACCCAGAAGTAGCTTTAGGTTTACATATTCGATCTTACTATTGTTTTGACAAAGCAAAGAAAACAATTCGACTGAAACACATAGCATGGAAAAAGTATCCATGTCAACTTACAAATATTAATCATTGATTTTTTTATTTTTCTCAGAAGAAATCGTTGAAAAAATACCCAACGTGTCGCCTCAATTTCGAAATTTATTCATCGCTGTTAGAAATAGGAAATGAAAAATCAATTTCAAATGTAAATTCGGTAGTATTATACATATTGATCCTAGATTAGAACAGGCTTTGTTTAGCTAGTATCAGAAGAATATAATAAAATATGTAACAACGTATGGAAACAAATGCGTTGTCAAGATAAATTACTCATATAATTCCCAAAGCAAGGTTGGATAGACAGCTTACTTTTATTCCTAGTTTAAATGCAATGACATTATCTCCACAATTTGAAACCATAAGAAAAGATAATCTCATTGGACAGAAAATCTGCAAAATAAATATTGCATTTAGAGCATTCTTTTCATTTTCGCACGCACGTCTATGGACCTAGCACTTAAGCACAACTCAGTTATATACATGTATTGTCAATCAGTAGTCTTTCTATCTTTTACCAGTGAGTCTTTCTTTGCATCAAAATAATTGTATTAAAAAGGCTGGCACACCATCACATTCAAAAAATATCATAATCACAGTTATTTCATCCTCACAAATATCAAAATTACAGTAAACACATTGCTATAACACAGTTGAAATTATTCCTTGTAAACACCGAAAACTGTAACAGTGCAGTACAAATATTTGCTCTGAAAGGAATAAGTAGCAAAATCGTCCGTTTTGGGATCCCAAGAGCATCGACTGGTCGCCATGATACCGGGTCCTTTATTTTCTCCCAGCGTTACGTTGCAAATCAGTTTGTACCTTTCATAATTCAATGTCTTTATCTTCTCTTTAATTTGGTTACACATAATTTTTGTAAGATTGGGTGACCATTTTTTGCTGTAAATCATTTTATCCAACTTTTCGTCCACAAGTTTTTTAATTACTTCATGCACGTGCTGTTGATTGAACTTCCGTTTCGGGACCATACGATAAGTCGGTTCATATTCCTTGGGTGGAACAGTAACTGTCGATAATGTTCTTTCTCTTTTGGAAAACCGCTTAAAGAACTTTTTGGTGGCCAACATTCCGGTCAGGGAATGACCCATCTGCTGGGCGGCTTTGCCACCGGTTACCGGTTTTTTAGGCATTGGTGCAATGCTATTTCTCCTTTTTTCACTAACACTCCCCTTCCGCTCAACGTAACTCTGTTTGCGGTCTACAGAAGGGGCGGGTTTTCTCTCGAAATCCGCTGTCTTCTTTTCGAGCTCTTGCTCGGTACTAGCTTTCATTTTTGCCAACATGTTTACTTAGTGAATTTGTGGGTCGGACCTTTAGGCAGTCACCAAGGATTATATATTGATTCTACAAAAAAAATTCAAATCGCATTATGAACAACTAAAAAACAATACAATTTCTACTGGTTCAGTTTGCCAATGTGACGAATTTGTTATGATTTGAAGATCAATTCAAAATAAATAGTGTTCAATGAATACTCTACACACTAATCTTGCAAAGTAAATATTTGGTTTAGAATTGGAAAAAAAGTACAGCGAATCGATGATAAGATTTTAATAACGATTTTGTATCTGTTAAATGGCTAGGCAAAGGTTATATCAAGTTTTTCCATGTGAAGAAGATAATCAATGGGTTCTCTAATGTATAATTTTTATGTTCAAAAGGACATTGAAGAGATTTTGGTACAGTTATGTAATACCCTATAAAGAAAAAAATATCAACTAAATATCATCTTTTCCAGAATAGCAAACACGCATACAAAAAGACCAAGGACGTGTAACAGTATGCTTACTAATTACTGATTTTAAAAGGCTCTGTTGAATTAGAGTATAACTTACTGAAATGTTTAAATCTATCTAAAATAAAACAATCGGGGTATTGACTGATGTATATTGTTAATACAAAAAAAGAGATTCGGTCGATAACCCAGATTCTGGCTTGTTTCTATCCTATAATTTCAAATCCCATTTATTAAAATTATGTAGAACAAGATCATTTAAGTTCGTCGTTCGTGTAAGTCATCAACATTCATCTTTTCTAGGTTCTTCGGTGCTTTTTTATTCGTATTTGCTGTGGGTTGCTAGGTGCTTTATGCGGTTATGAAGGGAGAAGGCTAGCATATCAATATTAGCAGGTAGAATAATGATTATAGAAAGAAGATCTAATGCTAATGTAAAATAGAGCTTATTCGTAACATAGTGAATATCAAATATTAAGTTTCAGAGTACTACAGTAATCACCATCCATATTCAGTATTAGTACATGTACATCGCTGACACACAGACTGAACACTAAAGTTACCGGTGATGAATTGGGGACAGTGATACATGAATCAAAGATTTGTGTAAGAATAAAAAATAGATTAATTTTGAATTTACGATGTGAATAAATAAGAATGAGATTGACAATGCTGTACGTATTTTTCTTTAAAGATTTTTAATACTTAGGATTGCAAGAGGAAAATTGGCATCAAAATATGGATTCTAGCAAAGAAGAGAGGTACCGAAAATCAATATGACTTAGCTTGCTTTTCTGAACTATCTATTGGAATGTAATTAAACAAGAAAAAAAATGTTTTTAAAAATTTCTTATAGAGAAATTATGAACAAAACTTTTGTTATTTCTTACCTTATAAAATCAAATTGAGACAGATTTGATGCCTATTCCATGTTACGGGGGATGTTTATTATTGATATCTCTTTAGAAATGAGTCAGTCACGTGGTTCATTACTGGTTATTATCATTTAATCTAAAACTCAGCTAATTACGTGGTGTCGTGTTTGAGATTACAAAGTTATAGCTTTTGAGTTAAAGGGCTGTCTTTGACCTACAAACTCTGCAAAATGCAGCTCTTTTGCCTACAATACAAAAAACTAGTGTTTGATGGTCTTTAAACAGAACAAAGCAGGATACTTGAGTAATCGTGAATCATAAAAGAAAGAAAATTATAATTAACTTGCATACTTTCCAAATATTATATAAAATGGAAATTAACAAAAGTGTTCACTGATTAAGTTAAAGTTACATTGGAACTCGAATTTTACATTGTGCTGTTTTCAATATGATTGTGTACATGCACTTGCAGCATTCATTGTTCATACTTTTAAAAAGTTTTGAACAAAGTTTATTTCAATACACCTTTTAAATTCCACAAAATATGAAACTTACTTTACTTGAAAACATCCTCAATGTTACAATCATGTCTTTAATCTTTATTAACAAAACAAGGAAGTATATATATATATATATATATATATATATATATATATATATATATATATATATATATATATATATATATATATATATATATATATATATATATATATAATTTTTTCAGTTTCAATCTTCATTTCGAATTTATTTTGAATATCAAAAATTCTTATTGCATATATATATATATATATATATATATATATATATATATATATATATATATATATATATATATATATATATATATATATATAATTTGTAATTTTTGAAATTTCAAAAGTCTCGAAATGAAGATTGAAACTGAAATCTTTTCATGCAACAATTTTCATTTTACAGGTCTCAAAGGGATTCAATTTTCTTTGAAGTTCTGAAAAACTGTCCTATAAAAAGATGATATTTGTACGCTATAAAAGTATTTTTAAAAAACACTTATTTAAGGTTCATAAACCCTCTGCTCACTCATATAAAATGTTTCTGTAACCCTTATGATTTTTCAAAAGAAAGGTACAAACAAAGAATATCTTGCGGGGCAAAATTTGACTGAAGGGACGCTTCAACTTGACATTTTTTAAAGGAATGGTAGATATTATGCCATTAAGAGTTAACTCTCTTATCAGAGTATCGATGAACCTTAAAGAAATCGAATTTTCTTTTAATCTAGCCCTATATACCAATGTTCAATGGCATGATATGGAATTGGTAGGGATTTATGGTGTATTGTAATGATGGGAAACTTTTTTTTTTAACACTTTCCATAATAAAGTGCTTGTTCAAAGTAAATAGAAGAAACTATAGTACTGTATTAGTATAAAAAACATGTTTTTTTTCAAAAGCCTGGATACCTATTAGAGAATGTTAATCCTAAAATGTATTTGTTGATCAATTTTCAATCAGATAATACATATTATGTGCTTTTATTTGCATTTCCTGAATTTCTTGGAGATTTACTACTTTTCCCTTTATAATATGATTACACATGAAATAAGTTTGAAGAATTACCCTGGGTTAATACACGGTACTTTGAGAAATCGGAGACATCTTTATGAGCATTTTCAATCAATCAATCAATCAATCAATTCCTGATTTTCAGAACTCAAGGATCGGACTACCTAAGTAAATCAGAGAAGATTATTTTCGTAATTTTCATTGGCTGAAAGAACGTCACGTGATATTCCTCCTTTTGTGATATCGACGCGAAAGCGCGTCGGCGGAAAATGATATCGCACGACACAGCGTTCGTTTGCACTGAAGTTACGTAGAACTGACGTCATAATATAAGAAGCGTGTTTTAACCATTGTGACGTAATGACAGCCAAGTCTGTTTAGTTAGGACTGTGTCAGTGCATTCACTTTGAGTGATTATATAATATAACTATTATGGACTTTAATGAACGGTCAATATGTGGTTATAAGGACTCATGGCAATTGATATTGACCGAAGACACAGAAAGTGATAGCGACCGAGCCTGCGAGTCCTTATAACCACATATCGACCTATACTGAAGTCCATAATTGTATAATATTCAAATAGAAAATATATATTTATTAGAAACAAAACATCACCCACAAGGTTAATAAATTATAATTTGTCTTCAATACATTTTATAACATTAAAATACGAGGGTTGTCCGGTAAAATCGTGGACAAGTTGTCAAGCGTAAAAAATAATCATCACTGCGTTCTGAAATTTTCACTACTAACTAGTACTTATTTTCTGAATAAACATAGCAAATTTCAAATAGATATATATGCATAAGTAAACTAATTATGAGATTTTATATTATGTATTGTATCGCCTTACGGCGCATGGATGATAACGTCAAAGTGTCTAAAACAGCGTTACGTTTCATCTTTGCGATAAAAATAAAGTTGTTTTAGTCCCACTTAAATTTAGGAATTTCATTGATGCATCTAATTTAGTCTCGATAAACAGTTGAGGAACCAATTTGTTATTACACCATCTAAATCAAACTGAACTGCTCTCCGGTGCGCCGTAACGTCATCAAACTCGCCATTTTTCGTGTGTTGTGTTTACCACTTTCCCATTTCGAATGTTCAGGAAACTTTCAAAAATTAACTAAATGCTTTGAAATTTTTAAACAAGACGACAGAATTAATTGTGGAATCGAATAAGGATATTTTTAAACCAAATCTTAACTATTTAAATCTTTTATTTCGAATCAATACTCTCGTATTCTCTAGTAAAACCTTCGTTTTTTGACCGTGCGCCGTAGGACCGTACTCTGTGCTCATTCAAGCATAATGAACTATTTTTTCCTATATTTTATAAAAAAAAAAATTATGATGCACTTAAATATGATAAATAAACATTTTCTCAAAATTTCAGCTGAGTGCGCTCATTACTATTCGAGAAAAACGCTTTGTCCTCGATTTTACCGGACAACCCTCGTATTTTTATGTTGAATTTTCTTAATATATACCTCTGAAAAAGGCTCAGTATACTCTTTATATGAAAAGGTATTTATATGAAAATGCAAATATTTCTTGTGGATTTTATTGTTTGTTTTCAAGTCTACAGTACACTTCGCGAAGAAAGAAATTGATCCTTACGTTGCGGGTTCGAATCCCACTGTAGGACGTTGGGACCGGTCCCTCGGATAAGACCGTTTAAACCGAGGTCCCGTTGGCACGAAAAAGATCCGTCCCTGCTCAATGGCCCCGAGTGCGGAGTATAGGACAAAATTTGAAGCTCTCCATCGGCAAGGGGTGGCGTCTCCATATGAGTGAAAAAATCTCGAGAGGGACGTTAAACTACATACAAACAAACAAACATTTTTATTTGTAATTTTTAAATGCAATCATGGATATTATGTAGGGATGGCAATCCGTAACCGGTTAATCGATTAATCGGTCGGAATGATGCTAATCGGTTAGAAAATCCGAAATCGGTTAGTCGGAAAAAAAATAAATTACACTGTATATGTTAATTTAAAAGCAGTTTCTATAAGACTCCTTCTTTTTTTAAGAAAGGAAACCACTGCATAGATGTTCATTTAGTGCTTTTACACAGTCATCTTATAATAAAGAATATTTGGAGTTAATTATATCTCTTCAGATTGAGATCGCAGGGGTTATTGGTCAATTTGTTAATATGTGTTAATATTACTGTTCATAAAACATAATGCCGTTATCCAGATAGTGCTGTGATTTTTTAATGATATAAAAAAAACACCACCATTAAGCACTTTTAATTACCGGTATAGTTTGTCAATATTTTGCCATTATCTATTAAAATATATTATAAGAAAGAGCGTTGTAAATTGCAAATATTACATAAAGACATAGTATAGACATAGTTTTGATTATGGTGACAATGCAGAATTAACTTCTTTAACATCTGCGTTGGAAAATTATCCCTTTTGATTTCTCAAACAAGATTCATGATTTTCTTAATATTTTCTTGTCTTTTGAAATTAAAATAAAACATACTCTTGTGTATATAAGATTCCCCGATCAAAATGATAATCAGAATGTAATTTCTTTAACGTCTTTTTTAGCCCTCTTGTGTATATGAAAAGAAAATGTTAAAATGTATCTTTATCTTGATACGACTAACCGGTTAATTAGTCGGAACGTTTTGCGGTTAACCGATTAGCAATTCTGCAATTCATTTTTTTTTAAAATATAAAACCCTATCATAATAATTTTCCATGATCTTTTTCATGTATATCAAAATGCAAATCTTGCTGAACAATATCCCGTATATAAGAAACATTTTGACGTTTGAGAATACCATGTTTATTGTTTTTTTCTAACATCTCTGCAAAAAACACACATTTCAATTTAACAGAAATGTTCAAAGTTACAATTTCTAAAGAGAGGATGCACTGGTATTATTTCTATTAGTACAGTCGTTGTTGATTATATATCTATTAGATGAATTACATGTATTTGTTTAATTTTCATTATATCATATGTGATACGATGATACAGTGGATTGATATAGGCCTAGTGATTATCAAAATTGATCTAAACTTTTGTTTTAACTCAAGTAATGCAGAGGAAAATTTTAGTGGATTTTTGATCGGGTGTGTTATTGCTGTATTTCTGATCGGGCTTGATGTGTCTAATTTACTTTTCCAGCAGAAGACAGGAAAACATTTGAGGAGATTTGTTATGAGTTTTCTACAAAACATTTACACTGATGCATCTTTGACTCAGGTAACTATAGAGATTTACTGATTGTAGATGAAATTCCACATTCCCACACGTTCTAAATACACGTGTACAGCATATTACCATAAATGAGTCATAATATGTTTTACGGTGTGACCGTTGGGGCGAGCGCAGTTTATTTACTATCATAAACCTACACATGTACTGTCTATCATTCAAGAAAAAGACAGCAAAATGAATAAAACAAAACAATAACAAGGCCGTAACTAGGCTCAAATTTTTAGTGACGCAAGGGTGCTGGGCATTCCTAGTCCCAGACGGGCAACTAGTACCTTATGGTCAGTGACGGGGGGTTCCAGAGGGAGGGAGGGGGATCCTGAAACCTGGGTATTAGAAAATAAAAAAAAACCTTAGAAAGTTTTTACGTTTAGAATTGTCGCCCGAATGGCACATTGGGTAGAGCGAACGCTCTAAAGTCGCAGACTAAGGAGTTGATCCTTACATCGCGAGTTCGAATCTCACTGTGGGATGTAGAGTCCGGTCCTTCGGTGTATGTCCCAGTAAGTGATGGCACAAAAACAAATAATTCTCTCACTGTTTAATCATCTTCAGTGACCCTGACAGCCCAATACAGATTTTAAACTTGCAGTCCTACACCGACAAGTAGAGATGTCTCAATGAATGAAAAAATCTTGGAAGGGATGTTAAACAATCAAACAATATACAAAACAAACATTTGGATTATATTTTTTTAAATATTTTACATTCGTTCTAAATGACAATGAGACACCGGGTGAGATGAACGATTTACAGATATTGAAACAAAAGTTGAAAATATTAATTTAGTACGAAGACACACATAATTCATAAGTTCAATGCAAAACTTTTACACTTAAAAAAAAAAAAATTAAAAAAAAAATTTAGTGAGGCATTTGCCTCACTTGCCTCAATGGTAGTTACGGCCTTGAATAAAGAGAAATCATTTCCCAAGCAGGGATTTACCCAGCTTTTTTGTTTTACTACCGTTTTATATGTAAAGGGGAAAAATGAGAGCTGCAGGCTCGATATGAGCATGATGAGCGCCAGAGGCGCGAGTATTCTAGGGGGGTCCGGGGGCATAATAAATTGAAAAATCCTGCATTCTTAGAGCTTCTGAGGGCCATTTGTAAAAAAGGCCACAAAAACTTCACTTTTTAGACAAAATATTAAATAACAAAAAAAAAAAAAAAATAATAATAATAATAAAATAAAAATTAAACCAGGTCAATACTTTATTTAATTTTTTCTCTCAATATCTATCACAAATCAGTTCAGTTTTTTCCTGTTTCACTACTAATATTGTTTTTGTTGTTACATTTGATCCATAGTGATATAAGCACTCATCTACACTTTTCTTTTTAACTCTGCAATCCAGACGTATATTTTGACATCATGGACATGGCACATGTTTACCGATCAATATCAAAAAGAAGCTTGAATATTCTATTCTCTCTTTTAAAAGCGTTTGAATGACTAGGATGATAAGTTAGGATATGCTGTTAAACTTCAATCGGACAAAAACGGAAAATTTCAGTACGATGTTTTAAATTTTCTCTGTTTAATCAAGAGAATTTTCTATCTGAAAAGGGGAATTTTTTCACTTTTTCAGGAGGGGAAAGATACCGTTTACCGGTAGTGAAAACAGCCTTGATAAATCCCTGCCAAGCATCGGGATCGAAATTCCAAACTTCTCGGAAGTTTCCGACAAAATCGGAAATACCCGAACTGTTGAAGTGACGAAAGTATGACGTCAGATAAAAAGTTCTGTTGACTTAGGACGCAAACGCTAGTTTTATGGAAAAGAGATTGCATTAAATCGTTCTTTTCAAGTAAGTTGTTGCTATGTTTTAGCCACCATGTTGCTATGCACCGCAACATGTTTTCCGAGTCTCACGGAAGCAACCGACATAACTTCGTCAAAATTCGTAAGTTTCCGGTGACGTCATTTGTATCACCGAAGGGCAAGGTGAAGGCCGGTGTTGTGGCATGGGGGTATTTTTTTTGAATAAGGTAAGGCAAAATCATTTCGTTAAGATTTCGGTAAGAAACAATGTTCCTTTAATTTTTTTACTGTTTTTGGTTTATTCGCGCAAAGGACATTGGGTAGTGCAGGAATTCTGGGAATGTTGCACAGAGAAATTTGGCTGACGTATGTACAGATTTCAATCCGAATTTCCTCTGTTCATACACGTTAGTCTATTGAGCTCGCTGCGCTCGCTAATATGCATTTTTACACTATATATTTCATTGAAATAAGATTTCATGTAGAAAAAACTTTATTTTGAGGTAAACTTTAGCTCAAGTTCCATGATTTTTTTTCACTGAATCATGCAAAATTGTTCAAAGTTTCTTGTCTAAAAATGCTAAACAAAATGATACACAAATCATTGAGAATAAATTAGGAAATTTTCAAGACAAAATTTGTAGCCTCAAATTACTATGATTTCATAACAAATTCGAGTCTTAAATTTTTATATCTCACTTGACGTTTGATATATTAAGAAATAATGTGTATAGAAACTGCATAGAATTCTGCATTTTTTTTGTATTTTAGTCATAAAAAAATGAGCAACGAATTACACTGCAATAATATTTTAGAAAAATGCATTTTTCAATGAAATATATAGTGGAAAAGTAAAGTTATTACTCACTTATGGCCAATTAATCCAGATGCTTTAATTATCTGGAAATTTACTGGGGAGCACAAGTGTCAGATGTGCCAAACTTTATGGTACCCCCTGCTTGAACAGTTGGAGGGTATATAGTGATCAGAATGTCTGTATATCTGTCTGTCTGTTACGCTTTGGGGTACCTGTCTATTATCCACAACACTGAATGAAATTTAATGAGACATTTACAGAATCTTTGTTACATAGTGCCATTGTGCACCTTCTTTTTTAAATTTTGATCCGACACATATTTTGGGTTTCCCATAGCAAAACATTTACACTACCATTCTTTCTATATTGAAGGATAGCCATCTCTTATCCACAACTCCTCCTATACCAATTACTGTAATAAATTTTAATGATACTTTCACAGATTCTTTATTACGTAAAGTCATTGTGCACCTGTTATTTTACTTTTTGATTTGACTTATTTCAGTTTTTGCAGAGCAAAACATGGAATTTGCTGGCATTTCAATCATATGGAAGGGGGTATCATTTAGTGAACTCAGTGCTAATAGTACCTCTTGTTTTAAAATAATTTACAATGTGTTTTTTTTAAAATATCTGGTAGATAACCTACTATACATGTTTTGTTTAACATTAAATTTTTCATATAATTGTATATTTTTTGTAACAATCATTAGTCATTGTGTGTATTACAGGGAAATGATTTACTTCTTTTAAGAATTTGTAGTCAATCCTTTTGTATTAAGATATTTGAATCAACTGATTCATATGAAATCATGCAAAAAATTATCACATTCCATACTGTAGTTCTTACATTTAATAATATAACAATCTGAAAATTGAAAACATTTTGATGTTAAAAAATAAGATGTATTTGTGAAACATTGACACCCCAAATTGTTGAACGACAGTTCTTGGTAAAGGTTTTAAAATGCAAGTTAAACTTCAATGTAAGAGATCAAAATGTTGAAACCAAAAGAAAGGTCTTGTTACAAGGAATAAACATGTGAAATATGAGAGCTCTACTGTCTAGCGCCAAAGGCCATGGCTAAGGTTAAGGGACACAGATTTGAAGTTAATGCATTCTAAAACAAGATGTGTTTGTGAAACACTGATACCCATGTATGGCAGATTATGACTAGGGTTGAATTTTCTCAAATACATGTCAAACTTCAAAGGTCAAGATTTAAACTAAAGGTCAAAAGTGTTGGTACCCAGAGGTTGATCTTGTTACAAGGAATACACCTGTGAAATATAAAAACCGTAGTTCTAGCCGTTCAAAAGTTATGGCCAAGGTTAAAGTTTTTAGGGTCAAGGTCAAAAGGACAAAAATATTTATACCCACTAAAAGGTCTCTTCACATTGAATGCACATGGGAAGTATGAAAGCCTTAGTTCTAACTGTTCAGAATGTATGGCCAAGGTTAAAGATTTTAAAAGTGGGTCAAACTCGAAGGTCAAGGACAAAAGGTAAAAAATATTTATACTCACTGAAAGGTCTTGTCACAATAAATACATGTTAAGTACGAAAACCATAGCTCCAACTGATTAAAAGTTATGGCCAAGGTTCAAGTTTGGAATTTTTATGTCACTTGTTGCTATCTGTTTTTGTCCACCCTTGTGCGATGTGCATCGCTTCTCGTATGTTAACATTTGAACATTTTCAGCTTCTTCTCTGCAGCCACTCAACCAATTTTGACAGGCTCACCGCTCTATTGATAATTTAGTAAAAATACATAAATTCTTTAAAAATATTCTTCTTTGCTCCTGGATATTAAATAAACCAAACAAGTACATAGTTATGTTTAATCAGGCTGCTTCTTCCAAAATTATGAATTTCGTGGCCATAGCGTCAGGTGTTCTGGTGTTAGGGCAGGGCTCTATTGATAATATAGTGGAAATGCATTTGACAATCTTCTTTTCTGCCCCTGGGTATTAAATAAACTATCCAAGTACAAACTAACTAAGTACATAGTTATGATAAGCAAGAGTGTCTCTTCCAAAATTGGGAATTTTATGACCACTGGGTTGGGGGGTTTTGATGTCAAGGTGTTGCTCTATTGATTGTATAGTGAAAATACATTATTTCTTTAAAAATCTTCTTCTCTGCTCCTTTGTATTAAACAGCTAAGTACATATTTATAATGAGCAAGAATGCCTTTTCCAAAATTGTGAATTTTATGGACCCTGGGTTGAAAAATGCATAAATTATTTAAAAATTTTCTCTGCTCCTGGGTATTAAACCAATGAACTATGTACATAGTTATGATGAGGAAGGATTCCTCTTCCAGATTTATGAATTTCAGGGCCCCTGGGTCAGGGGTTCTGGTGTTAGAGCGGGGCTCTAATGATTATATAGTAAAAAAAGCATTAATTCTTTTGCTCCTGGGTATTATGCTAATGATCTAAGTCCATATTTATGATGAAGGTGCCTCTTCCAAAATGGTTAATTTCAGGGCCCCTGGGTCAGGGGACTAAGGGGGGTTACATAGTCTGAAAATAAATTAATGCTTTGAAAACTGAGAATTTCCAAAATTTTGAAATATTTGGCCCCAGGGTCAGTGGTTCCTGTGTGGTTAGGTGCACAACACAACTGGTTATAAAGTGGATATGCTTTTTCTCTTTGTTACTCTGATTTACCTCTGGGTATTAAGTAACCAAAGTAAGCATGCTATTGTATAGTTATGATAAGCAATACTGCCACTTTCAAAATTATGAATTTTATGGTCTCTGGTTTAAAACACGAACCAAAATCAATTGTTGGAAAGTTTTTACATGATACTTAGGCGACCTATAAGGCCCGTGTGCCTCTTGTTTTGTAAAAGTAGGTCAAACTCCAAGGTCAAGAGGTCAAATTTGGAGGTACCTAAAGAAGAATAGAGATTTATGATTAAATACAAAATCGACAATGAAATTTTGTTCAGGCCCCTTTAAAATTTAGTGGACAAAATGCCAAGATCAAGGTCATAGGATAAAATTTCTTGGTAGCCAAAGGAAAATGTCATAAAAATTCATTTGTGGAATACGAAAGCCATAGCACTACATGTTCAAAGCTTATTACCAAGGATAGAATTTTCTAAAAGTAGGACAAACTCCAGGTCGAGGTCAAGAATTATATTTTTTTTCTTGTGTAGGTCAAATTCTAAGGTTAAATCTGCTGATACCCAAAAGAAGGTTTTGTCACAAAGAATATACAAGTAAATAACAATAGCGCAAATGTTATGGGCAAGAATAAGGATTTTAAAAGTAAACTCCGAGGTGAAGACAAAAATTCCAAAATATCTGTATGTACATCATAGAAAGCCCTCATCACTTCTCTCTCTCTCTCTCTCTCTCTCTCTCTCTCTCTCTCTCTCTCTTATTCCATTATTCTGAGACTACTATTGCGTTTTCCATCATATACTCCTGTAATAAGCTTATACTGTTTAAGAAGTCGCACGTGATGGAGAATGTTGACCTTTATTTCTCTGTAAACACAGCGCCAGGTCTGCTAGTGGGAACTGTTCAAATTCCCATGTTTTATATTTGAAAATATTTTATAAAGGGGATGTGCCGAAAAATATTATCTATTGAAAACATTACATCACATCAATAAATTATAGAAACCGAGAACAACATTATTGTTAATTTTTTTTTAGCTCTACTGGTCAGAGACCAGAAGAGCTTATGCGATAGTAATGCGTCCGGCGTCCGCCCGTCTGTCCGTCTGTCTGTCTGTAAACAATTTTTCAAAATGCTACTTTTCCTACAGTTTTGGTCTGATTTCAATATAACTTGGCACACAAGTAGACTACACTAAGATACATAATTCTGTGTATCGGTTTTTGATTTCGATGAACGGTGTTGCCGTGGTTACTAAAAATAGAAATTTCTGTGAAATTCTTTCAAAATGCTACTCCTCCTACAGTTTTGGTCTGATTTCAATATAACTTAGCACACAAGTAGATTATACTAAGATTCATAATTCTTTGTATCGGTTTTTGATTTCGTTGAACGGTGTTGCCATGGTTACTAAAAGTAGAATTTTCTGTGAAATTCTTTCAAAATGCTACTCCTCCTACAGTTTTGGTCTGATTTCAAGATAACTAGGCACACAAGTAGACTACACTAAGGTACATAATTCTGTATATTGGTTTTTGTTTTCGATGAACGGTGTTGCCATGGTTACTAAAAATAGAAATTTCTTTGAAATTCTTTCAAAATGCTACTCCTCCTACAGTTTTGGTCTCAATTCAATAAAAATTGGCACACAAGTAGATTATACTAAGATTCATAATTCTGTTTATCGGTTTTTGATTTCGGTGAACGGTGTTGCCATGGTTACTTAAAATAGAAAATTCTGTGAAATTCTTTCAAAATGCTACTGCTCCTATAGTTTTGGTCTGATTTCAATATAACTTGACACACAAGTAGACTTCACTAAGATACACAATTCTATTTATGGGTTTTTGACTTCGATGAATATTATTGCCTTCGTTACTAAAAATAGAAATTTCTGTTAAATGCTCTCAAAATGATACTCCAAATACAGTTTTAGTCTGATTATAATATAATGTGGCATGCAAGTAGACTACACTAAGAACATAAAGAGACTGAATCAAGGATCATTATTCTATTTATTGCTATTGTAAAGTTTTAAATACCTACTGCTTAAGTACCGGTAATTTTCTCTTCCTTTGCTATAAGTACAAACCAGTAGAGCTTCAGTCTCGACAGGGACTTCAGGTTTTACAGACTTTCACTTTTTCCTATGTCTTCATTATGTAAACTATTTGATGTGAACGTTTTACAGTTGCACGCTCTCTCACATAACAATATGCTACGAAAAATGTATTTATTTTATTAACCTTAACCTTAGTTTTATATAATAACTACCGTATTGACAGGAATCCGAAGGTGACGATTTGGCGTGTGGACTCAGTCACGTGGTCAGATAGAAATCGTGCTGATATTCAGCAGATATTTTTGGTCAATTCGTCGAATATTATCTCCAACAAAACATGCGCTATGCAATACATTACATAACGGTACTGAGCAGAAGATCTTATTTAGTTCACCTTGTCAGCTGTAAGTAGAATTATATCATCTAAATAAAGAGCTCTATCCGCTGTAATTAAGAATTGTGATTTATGAGGTTCCTGGCAGTCAACACGTGAAGAATAGTCAGATGATGAGGACCGCAAGTCTCGCATAAATCTATTTTTGATGGAGACCCATACGGTAAATTTCTTAGAAAAAATAATAATTATAATGTGGTTTTATTTTCCATAGACTTTTTGTAATTATTGCAGCATAACTTTTAAAATCATGATTTTAATAGAGTTGAGCTTTTTCTTATTTTTTCAAATATTTTTTGCAGGACTTTAGTAAAGGCCCTTTTGCACTAATGAATGCAAAATAGTGATCTTTTAAACAGACATATAAACAGTTTTATTACAAACTGTTGCACATGGTAGTACAATTTATCTGTAAGATACGAAATGTATGTTGTATAATTTTGTATCGTACACTTATTTATTTACTCGATATTGCCTTTGAAGGTTCATTTTGTGTTGATGTCAGTGATTTAGATAAATACGTAGAATTTTGTTCTTGTTCTTTGTAATATTTTGAGCCTTTCTTTGATATTATAATTATTTTTGTGCATAATTTCAATACTTTGTAGATTTTTATAAAAGTTTCAATTTTTATTTAAGACAAAGACCCCAAAAGGGGTATATGCATATGAATGCAAATTATACAATAAAATTATGACATGAAAGCTTGAAATTCCATGCATGAATGAGTGGCACTAATGTTAATTACAATATACATTTACATGTATATATGTAGTTCAAAACATCAAGGTATAAAGGCCTCTTCTAGCATGAAATAATTTATATGTATTACAATAAATGTTACACTGTGGTTTTGTTATTTTTAATTTATTTAATACTGACAATAAAATTTTGCCAAAAATGACGCTTTAATAATGTCAAATAATTTATTTTAAGTTATCTCTCTTGAGTCGCGTCTCGTTAATATTTCGTATAACAGAGCAAGTAGTGATGCCCAGTATGCGAAACATGTGCCTGTCCTGGGCATCTGTTATTTTCCAATGATTTTATGTTATTAAATTTACGGTACACTAAAGTTAATCCAAAAAGGGCAGACAAACTTGAAAATTTATGTTGTCCATTTTCTTTCTTTCTTTTCATTAATTGTGCCCGTGACTTGTTTATACGCTACAATTTGTTCCCATATACCATTTCATTTCTTTGAGGAGTGAATAGAACTTGAAATCCTTAAAGGTTCTAGTTAATTTCCTCAGAAATAGGTAGGAATTAAAAAAATATTTCTAGCATGTAAATCATGTAAATGTGTTAATGCATTAATTATTTTTTTCTGAAGACTACATCTTTTTGCTATCTTTTTAATTTGTCCTTAAGGTTAGCAATCATGCATATTCTATGAAAACGTCAAATGACTCCCTGGTTTATATTGTTGGTAACTTTGAAGAATAGTCTCTTAAGGAGTAAAAGTAATTAAAAATGCTATGGGTTATTTATCAGTCAAAACTTTTTATGCCATAAAATACCGACAAATATAAAACTAGAACATGCAGTGCCAACCAACTACTTAAAAATACTATGCTAGCAAATTGTCTGTATTAATATCTAGAGCATAAATAAATAAATAAATGCATAGTACATATATATCTCACTTTGTTTTCAGAGAAATGCAATGACTTTTTTTGGCTTATTATTTATTTGTATTTTATATGCACCATATACGAAAATGCATGCAACTATAAAGTGAACTTTTGTCTCGTGTCCATTAGGTGATGATTATACGGTACATCTGCAAATACGGCTGCGTTTTAATATAATTTTTTCCCATATTTATGTTTTCATCCATAGCAGAGCATTCGTTTTAACATTTCAGTGTTTAAATATATTAAACATCTGTTCTTTTCTAGTTTACACACTTAGGTCTGTACATTCAAATCACAGGCACATAACGTTATGATTTTTTCTTTTTAATAAAAAAAATATATATATACTCCTGCCAATATAATAAATTATAATTCATAATTAAAATTTATTAAGTAAATTGGGATATATATATATTTTATATTTAAAAGAAAATTAGATGATATCGGGTGCATGTGATTCAAGTAAATTATTTTACGTTACTTCGAGAAATATTTATTCTCGATGAAACCAGTTTTCGGCGGAAGGCTGATTTAGGCTACTGACCTTTGAGCAGTGTGGATTTTATTTATGCTACTTGCAACACTAAATCCAGTGAAATGTACAATTTCTTTTTCTTTATTGTATACTTTTATATTCTTTTAAATACCATTTCAAGATCAAATTTTTGTTTTTTAATGTAACAACATGAATTTTTGAGGAACCTTGATTAATAAAATCTGAGACTTAAATGCTTGTTCTTTTTTTTTCCGCTTGAAGGTATTTTCAACGATTCTCATATACTAGTATTGACTATTGTATGAAGTTAAAACGAGGATATACCATACTGACTTCTGATTTCTTGAACTCTTTCAATTTCACGCCTGATAAGGGCGACCCTCGCCATCCCTCTTCTCTATTTTCAGTTTCATAGATGCATGTATATAAAAAAAAGTGAAAACTGTATTTGATTTCATGGTTTTATTAAGTACCATCAAAATATAAATAACAGGCATAGAAACAACCCTCCCAGGCCAGCTGGGGAATTCGCATGGCACTTTCGGTAACAATATTAAAATAAATTGACTAGTGTGTATGTTACATATACAACAAAATAAATTAACAGTGAATCAGATAATATATATAGTTATAATAAGCACCAACGGATATAACAATTAAGTGGTTTTCTGCGATTTTCATAGGAAGCAAATCAATGAACACAATTTTTTTTCAATTTAGTATACATGTACATATGTGTGCTGTATTAAGCTTAATTTCAGAAATCTCAATTAGGCTTTTCGTTAAGAATTAAGTATCGAGTATATGCAATTGCGTATATATATATATAAAATGATCATAAAAAAGATCTACAGTAATTTCATCCGAAACCAGTCGTTCAATGTGCAAACTAGGCACAATATGCAAAATTGCACTCTTGATTGATAATTACAAAACTTTCGCTGCCAGTATAAGTAAACTTAAAATAAGGAACAGTGAGTTAACGGTGGGTTGGTGGCAGTTACATATCAAAATATATCAAGGCTATGCTTTTAAATAAAGAACAACTGTTTCAAATACTTGTGTTTTATACAAAACAGTTCATACTTTCTATTTTACACTTCGTCTTCCTCTGCATTGTGGCCACTAGGAGCGGACAGCACGTGCAGTCTCGTATTTCCAAATCGGTCCAGCCTGCCTTTTGGAAAAATACGACCAAAGACCTAAACCTTCTGACTACGAGTATGCAAAATTTTGTTGCATATTGCTTTGTTCCAACATGAAAGCAATTTTGTTTGCAGTCAATTCAACGGAAAGGTTAAGTCTATAATGGATCAGATTAGAGCCTCGTATGGCTTCATTGCCGGACAGTTTTCAGAGCGACAATTTCTTAAATATGTCGCTTCATGTGCAGCGACAGGTGGTCACTTCTAGAAAAGGCTCTTTCGCAGAGATGGCACTGGAATGGACGATCGCCCGTATGTTTTCTATAATGCCTTGTAAGTTCATCAGAGCGAGCGAATTTCCACCCGCATCCTTTCCACGTGCATGCGTATGGTTTTTCACCTGTATGGGTGCGCAGGTGAGCCTTTAGGTGGGAACTCTTGGTGTAAGTTTTACTACATCCAGGATGAGTGCAAGTATGACTGGTTTGGCGTTTTCGGCCCCATGTTCTTCGGCCTCTTTTCTTTGGTTGGGCGGCAGATGAATCGACAGTCGGTGGTGGCAGTAACAAGTCTACAAGCTGGGGTGATGACGGTGGTGTAATCATCTGGTGTGGGACCTGCAACATATGCTGTTGTTGCATTTTCTGCATGTATGGATTAGTGTTCATCATATATTGCTGATTCTGAAGAGGATGGATTTGCTGTGGCGCCATGCGATGGAAGTGACTCTGTTGTTGCTGTTGCAGCATCTGAAGAGGTGCGCGGTATTTTGGGAGATCGTTTTGCATTTCTGGAGAAGATGGTGGAGACATATTGCTAGGAATGTTAACTGGATAATGCATTTGTTGATGTGGTGTTGACACAGGAGTAGCATTGCAGGTCAGTCTGGGCATAGTCATCACGGGGGATTTATTGCCCATATAAGAACCACAAGAACTAGAAACAGTTGCATGTCCAAATTCTTGTTTTGGAACAATGTATTTGTTGAAGTCCATTTTCATTGTTTCCATTTCGGATGGCAGACTATTGTTCACAGCATTGTCAAATTTAATATCAGGAATATCTAAGAAGGTAGAATGAAAGTCTGGTAATGGATCGCCAGTTATCATGTTAGGTTGAGATTGCTCTTGCTTGATTTTCAAACAGTTTTCTTCTGAATATAAACTTTCAACAGTGTTTGCAAGAATAAAGTCATAATCCAGCAGCTCATCATAACCGTCGTTTAACTCGCATGGAGATCGGTTTCCTGCAGGGTCCTGAGTCTCCTGCTTTCCCGGCAAATTTGTCGCTCTCATTTGGTCAAGAGCCTGCAGCATGCCATTTTCGTATGGAGTGTTGTCTTGGTACATCATGGATAGACTCTCTATATCATGCCAGCCCTGAAACAAAGTAAAAAGAAAGATTAATTTTATGAATATTTATCATCTGAAACATGGAACAAACAACACAAAAAGTGAAACACGCTTATCAAATTGTGGACGTTTACCTGATCTGCACATATTAAGTAATCTAAATTAGAGAATAAGCCAGAAAAATCAAACATATTCCCGACCATCTCGTCCTTAAACTCCATCGTTCAGAGCAAAGAATGAAACTGCAATAAGTCGGTTTGTTGCATGCTTTATATAAGGAACATGTGATTAGATACAGTCCGTGCAACTATACATCACGGTTGATCCGATTTGCGATGCTACTAAATTTGAGACATTAATTATTACAAAAGATGAAACCTCGTAAGCACCCATTAAGCTCATTTGTTTCGGTCTTATTATTAAAAATAAGCTGCTGACTTTTGCACCTTTCGGTCGAACACGTTTCTGAGGAAAATGTGACCACGAAATCAAGCGACAAGTATTTTAATTCAATATTTTGTAAGACAGTATTTTTTTAATTCATCAATTTTATTTAGAAGTAATTAAGTTAACTTACCGACTGCATATCAGTATTTTCATTCATAGGTGAGTTAAGTCCTTGCGAGTAACCAATGCCGGACTCCAACAAAGTATCCACGTTGATCATGGTGGATATCACTTAATGTAAACAAAAATTTGTGTATCTCTTGTCGACTATTACAATGTATTATGTTCTGATCGGATTAATACAGAATGAAGTACAGAAAGCAAAGTAACATCTATATACCTATCCAAAAATACACGCCGTTTAAAAGGTCAAACTTTCAACTACCAATGAAAGCACGGCAAAGTTCGTCTATTTTTAGAGACCTATATAAATGGCATAAGCGATCGTAGTATA